CAGAATGAAAAAAACAATTTTGCGTGGCTAATAAATGCCATCATAAATTTCAGGATTATCGTCGTAACGTTTTTTGGATTTGTAAGAGTCCCATATGTTACACAGCTTAATGGCTGGAAATTCTTTCAATTATCTTGTATGAGAAGCATGGATATTTTAACTTTAGATTCCTTCCATCTATTTGTTTTAACTACATGAAAAATTTGTTAAGAAAGTCTTCGAACTCATAATTGAGTATATCTTTATATCTATCAACTGCCTGTAACCATTTGCGATACATTTATCCGTATTTTATACTCTCGAGAGTTTAAAGGCTCTAATAAGTCTTCGTTGGTTGGTAGCTTATGATGATATTGAAGTATTAAAGAAAGAGTTGGATCAAAACACAATCGCTCCCTTATCATCATATACCCATCATTCTCATTTGAATTATCAGTGCTTATTATAAATCAGAGTTTATTTGTGCAATAACATGGTTCCGTCAGAGTATACGTCATACCTGCCGGTAGAGTCGTTAATGGAGTACTCCAAGTTATAACAAAACATATAAACCACTCCAGTTTAAAACTGGAGTGGTTTATATGTTTTGTTATAGCTTGGAGTGCTCCATTAACAACCTTACCTGCCGGATAAACTAGTTATTAGATGCTTCTCATCCAATAACTATATAGTATTCTCAAAATGTTATTTTGTGTTCACAAAAAAATAACTTTATATGCATCAATAAATTTATAACATTTTGAATTAACTTCCTAAATTAAAAGCACATATACGAGCTTCCTGACTAATAAATTAAACGCACAGCGAACTTGAACTAGTTTACTTCAATAAGAAAACCACACTTTATTATATATAACCGCTAAGCTTAATACATCGTAACTTAAATACGCTATGCTCTTAGTTTTAGCGCGCAGCTACCCTAATGATTAAGCGTTGTATGATTACGTATATTAACTTCAGGTGGTTGGGATTATCCGGTCAGGTTATCAAATTAAGTAAACAATCAAATATTCGGAAGGTATAAATTTGTTTGTTTTAAAGCACATCTTTTTTTTTAGTACTACTTTTTCGGAATTCTGATAGAATAATCTTGTAGTCTAGAAATATGCACAATTGGATTAATACAACATATCTGATGCATAGATTGTTCCAGAAGTTGTAAACAAAGGGACAGGTTTTACATTATATTGCTAAATTTAGTAATTATAATAAATTTTAGAAATTGTTTATCAAAGCTAATTTTTAGGATACGTAAAACAACCGCCCCATTAAACTTTAATTAGCATAAATGACGGAGATGAAGATATACGGCCATCAAATGCGCATTTTGTGCTACATTAATGTTACTGTATTTGCGTTTGGTGGGGGTTGATTAGTCTCGTGTCCATTGACTTTACTAATTTGAGTTTAAATTAATATCAAAATTTCAAAGTTTACCAAGTATTAGCAATCGAATTGAATTGAATTAAACAGTTTTATGATTTTGTAAAAAATTTTGCAAATCGAATTTTTATACAAAATTTTGTTAAAATTCATATTGTCTGAACATATTGAGTATGAGCATCCGACTAAGAAATTATCGATTTTGGGAATTAACATTCTCAACTTCATTCTTTTTTATTATTATCAAAAATACGCTATTTTGTATCGATATCTAAAATGCAACGAACCACGGATTTAGATCAATTGGACTTAAGGCCGGATTTAAAGTAGGGTTAACGAAAAATTTATTTTTTGAAAATAAAGTTGAACAAGACAAAATACATCGATATTGCACCATAATTGGGATAAGAAATTTCCCAAAACGTCCAAGGATAACGCTAATTTCCTGTTTGTATCAGCACTTTTTTTTTTTAAAAAAAAAAACAATAATAAGAGATGAGCTAATAGTCCCTTTTGTTTATTTTTTTAAAAAAAAAACACTGGCTTAAGTTTGACAAACGTTTATGGCAATATAAAGAAATAATTTATGTAGTTTATGTATTTAATAATAGTGACCATAGGTTCAAAAATAATGGTATACCAGCTCGTTCGATAGATTAAAATATTCCTAATTTGAGAACAACTTCAAACCTATAGAATCTTGCATATTACGCAATTGTTAAATGTGAACAAAGACCAAGAAAACCTTTTTTAAGTATATACTGAATTTGTATTGTTACAATTTAGGTAAAGTATTTTCTTTACTTTGCCACTCATTACCATAACAAGCATTCTTGGCATGAACTCCGGTTCATAAACAATGTACGTAACACAAACGATTTTGTTTGCACAATACCCGAAATGAGGAAATTCATTGAGGAAATTTCCATGATTTTCTGAAAGACCGTATTACAAACATTCCGACATGAAACATCAAAAGTTTTACAAAGTTCATTCGTCTTTTTTTTTTTATAAATACTTCTTCAAGTTTAGTATGAACAAAAATTAAGGAAGAAAAAAGAAATAAAAAGTTTTAAGCGTAAAAGTTATTGCTCATACGTTCATATAAATCTGTATTCATTGGAAATTACTACACAAATGGCATATGAAAAGCCTACAAGAGATTCAAGGCCCAAAAAAACTTGGGTTCAAATATTACAATCTAATATAAACAGACAGAACATGAAAACAATTCAGGATTTTCTGATTCTTTCGACCACAAAAATTCCATTTACCGTCCCAGAATTTATGTCAATATATTCTATTAAGGATGATAAATGGGAAAAAGAAGCGGAATTAAGCTTAGTACAAAATATATTTTCACAAATATTTTTTCATTGTAGAGAATTTAAAGAAGGGGAGACGATAACAGATATGTTTTATTTATCTGAAGGAATTTATAGATATTCGTTAATAGTCCCTGAAAATTATGATGATATGATCGCCGTGGCAAAAAAATGGCATGAAACATTTAGAGAACAATATCTTTTATCTGGGAGGGAAAAATCTAGTAAAGACGATACTATTAATGATTATAAAAAGAAATTTGAAAGTTGGATAAGCGAAGAAATTAATAGAGTTGGCCAATTTTGTGATGAATGTGAAAGATTAAATGTAATTTTTAAACAATTTGCCCTCGTAGTAAAAGATGATTGGGAAACTGGACTAAAACCTATTATCCATAAGATTGATAAAAAATTTCAAAAGTCTAGTAAGAGTCGTAAGTAACTTGCAAAGTACTGTATATTTAAAAAAAAACATCTTTCACGAAATATAATTTCTGAAAATAATTTCTTTTTTTTTTCTTAGGGAAAAATTATCCTAAACAATTGCAACAAACAATAAATGATCTCGCACAATCTATGTCAGATTCTTCTCTTGTTTTACAGTCAATAAGTGGTAATTAAAAAGGTTTTATTTTTACTCTTTCTTTGGCCAAATCGGTATTAACATTATTTTTGTTCATTACAGAAAAGTGGAAAACATTTAATAGTGATTTAGAAAACATAAAAACTACGTTAGAAAAAATTGGCGAGCCAAGATGTCTACTGCCCACAAGGAAAATTTATCTAGAGAGTATAAAAAACAAATGGAAAGGGATAAATAATTTATCTTTGGAACTTTATAGCTTACTATATTATTTTGAAGTAGAAAAAAGAGATGAAAAATGCTAAAAGGGTTTTTTGGTGGAGATGGTTTGAATAATATTTTACTAAT